GGGCCGTTCCCAAAAATACTTCTCACTTTCCCTTTTTGGACAATTTGTGTGGTTCACATTCATTTTACTTTTTTTCTTACACAACTACAACCATTCATTTCCACTTTATTTCACTTTCTTAATAAGTGTGTCAAGTCAAATTAAACCGGGAAGTATATTTAGGAACGGAGGTAGTATATCATTTTTAATTTAGACTTAAATAATTCAACTGCAACATTTTGATTGGTCCATTTGGACAAATGTATGATACCTTATGGGTAGCATATATAGAATCTACCTTTAAAATATAATTGAGATAAGGGTCAGATAGAGTCTCGAACTTGAAAAAAAATGTCAAATAAGGCCATATTTAGGATGCTCTGTCCGGCCGACGTCATTTGGGGTGGTTCCAGGTAGAATTTTTTGATGAAATTTTTTGAGAATCTTATTCATTAATTCTAGTTTACTCATATCAAATTTGAACTAAAACTTTAATCGGGAAGGCATTCAAATGAATTCTTGAAGATAACTGTACCGTTAAAAGTGCAGTTATCTTCATGAATTCATTTGAATGCCTTCCCGATTGAATTGTTAGTTCAAATTTGATATGAGTAAACTAGACTTAATGAATAAGATTCTCAAAAAATTTCATCAAAAAATTCCACCGGGAACCACCCCAAATGGCGTCGGCCGGACAGATCATAGAGCATCCTAAATATGACCTTATTTGACATTTTTTTTCAAGTTCGAGGTCCTATCTGACCCTTATCCCAATATAATTTGAAGACTTAATATGATGACGACATATATGAAAATCTAAAAGGAAATCTGAATTTTGTAGCGAACCCTGATTTTTAGCTTATCAATTTATTACAAGCCAATTCTTTGATCAAACACACTTTTTTCAGGCTAAATGGACTAAAATTACTCTAGATAACGATTTTTTTTACTATATAATTTTTTCTTCATGTTATGAATAAAATATATTTTAAATATAATTTTTTCATTATATATTGAGTAAAATCAGTCAATCCAATAATTTTAGTCAAAATTTTATAAATTTCAACAGAATCAGCCGCGAGTGATAAGAGGAGCTCAATTATATTTTAAAATTATAAGTTAGCTCACCATATATACCAATAGAAATGTCACTCAATCGACTTTTAATTTTTCACACTATCTAAGTATTTATACTTTGTTGAGGATTAGAATTAGAATTGGATAGAAGCTGCACAGCCGGCCCGGCCCACTCAATAATGATACGGAGTAACTAAAAGTTGACGAAAGCATCATAAGTATTTCTGAAGCACCGATAGTAATCGCCAATGGCGTTACAACGTATGGACTGTAACGTAAAATCCGGAAATAAAAAAAAGTATTCATTTCAAATTTGAAACCAGCTTGCAAGTGGCACCAGCTTTTTCGTCAACCCACCTCGTTTCCCATTTTTCATCTCTTTTATTACACACTTTCAGTTTTAACCATTAGTAATGAACCACTTAGCCAAATACGGAGTAATAATAATAATAAGGAAAAATTGATAGTAATAATCCCAACTATTGTCGGTCCGCTAATAATAATCTCAACTATCGATTATTTCAGAATAATCTCAACTTTAGGGACCTTCCGCCAATAATGGTCCGACGTGATCGGCTATAAATAAATTCTTATAATTTCTAAAGTGGACGGGAAGAGATATAACAGGTAATCCCTATAAATAATCCCAAATTTTAATTTTTACTCTTAATTTCTATTTAAAATTCACATGTTATAACAGGTAATATCTGATCATGGACCATTATTGGCGGATAGTCCATATAGTTGGGATTATACAAAAATAATCAATAGTTGAGATTATTGTTAGCGGACCGGCAATAGTTGGGATGATGGTGATGATGATAATAATAATAATAATAATAATAATAATAATAATAATAATAATAATAATAATAATAATAATAATAATAATAATAATAATAATAATAATAATAATAATAATAATAATAATAATAATAATAATAATAATAATAATAATAATAATAATAATAATAATAATAATAATAAAAATGATAAATAATGTTCTAAACTTTTCTGTTCTAATTTGAATGTTTCTGGTCTAATACAAATTGACGTATATATAACTCATTAAGTTGCTTCTGTAGTAACCATTTACGGAGTATAATATTTTCTTCGTTTTCTTTTAATTGCAACAATCCACTTTTCATGTTTGCCAAATACCAACAGACAAGTTTGACCATTAATATCTTTCATTCTCTATTAGTAAAAAAAATTAGATTTTAAAATTTTAAAAAGAAAAGAATTTAATACGGAGTAATATTTTTAAAAAAATAATCTATAATACATTAATAATATTATGTAGTCAAAGTAGAGCATGTTTGAAACATTCACCAATCTTGCAATAAAAAATGAATGGCAGAATGGACATAGTATAATATAATCCAAACTCTTAAAATTAGTGATGAGTTATATATTGATGAGACCCTAGGTACACAGAGATAAAGAGAAAGAGCTATATCACAATATTAATGAAACAAATTAAGTTCCAACCCTAATTTTTGAGGCATGCATGATAAGGGTGACGACTTAAATGAGAGACGTGTCCCGAGATATCCATATCGTATTTTTGCTCAACAGGGTTACGGGGTGATTGATTGTTTTTGTAATTTATAAAATTATAAAAACCACCATACTTCCGCAGTTTTTACATTTTAAAAACATGATGATTTATTAAAATATGACATACTACCTTCTTATCAAAGTACGTACGTACGAAGTTGTTCAGTTTCCTCTACTCATAACATTTAAACTATTATTAATAAGAAAAAACGTCTAGAATATTTCTGTTTCTATTAATAATCAAAACTTACATTTTAAAAAAATCAATATATTCTATTAAACATCAAGTTTTGTGGGAATAGAGAAGTGAAAAATGTAATACGGACCAATGAAGTTATCCACATTCCGAGCCCATCCAATTAAGAAATGAGATATTACCCGAAATAGAACAAAAAAAGTTTGAAAATTTCAAAATAGGACTGCCATGTTTTTATTCCCAAAATAGGACCAATTACTGTCATGTTTTGGCAGTACCAAACTTCAAACATGTCAGTATTTTCCAAACTTGACAGTAATTACTCCTATTTTGGGAATAAAAAACATGACAGTCCTATTTTGGAATTTTCAAACTGTTTTAGTCTTATTTCGGGAACTTTCTCTTAAGAAATTAGATAGTTAAAATGTCATTATTTTTGTGTATTTTATACGTATGCTTCGAGCTTCATTCGAAAAGTAGGTAGGATCTAACCATTAACTTGAAAGTAATGGGAGGCGGCAGAACTTTTATTCATTTAGAATACTATCCATACAGCAAAATATAAATAATAAAACTCTTTAAATAAAGTTGGACAACCCTCACGTTCTTTCTGATTAATAACATGCATGAAGAGCTATCAACCCGAATCTTATAATTAAGTTAATGAACACTTGAACAGAAATGACTAAATGTTGAATTTTATGTGAAATGCTCAAGAGCTGTCTTTCCTGTACATATACGTAGTAGTATGTAAGTTTCTTGAATGAGAGTTATCTCAATCTAAAATTAAATCAGATCGATTTAAATCTATTACATTAGGACGGGACAATCGTGTAATATATTCAAACTAAAAACTTAATTCTAGGATGGGTGGAGTTCATTCATAAATTAGGATGTTTTATTCATTTTACAACTTTCAAAATATGGTCTCATCTGATCTCGTGTGTGAAGATGTTTATTAAATACTAGTATGCATTTTACAACTTTCATCTAGTTTGGTTTGGTCCAATAAAAATTTGTCTTTACTACATTTAGAGTCCATTTGGTAATATCCAAATCAATTGTATTGCTTGGCTGATTCTAGTTAAATTTATATAGTTCTGCCTGGGGTGGTTGCATTGATTCATTCTGCTGATTTATAAAAATATTATATTTAAAATATACTTTATCAATCAAATAAAGAAGAAACTAGATGAAAAACAACTAAAATAATCCTTTACAGTAACGAACTCTAGTCGATATAACCAGAAAAGTAACTCTAACCATACTATTTCTTATTATTGCACAATTCAACATGCAAATGAAAAGTTATGTGTTTGGTGAAAAATTGTCTGATAAGTCTAATAAGCTTAAAAATAGGGTCACTAAATGGGCTCTTGGTTTAGTTTGGTTTGCAATTGTATTCCCATAAGTTGAAGTTGTTTTCATTACTAGTCCCGTAACTTTAGTCACTTGTCGAATTTGGTCTTGTAACCAATAAATCTTTGCAATCTCCGAGAAAAGTACGCTTTCCCGGAAAAACATATCGGAAAATATGCCGTCAAGATTGAATTTTCTACTAAAAAGTGTATTTTACGGGAGAAAGTCCGTAAATTGCAAAAATCTACTACTTATTAGTTACGAGATCAAATTTATAAATGACTAAAATAACGAGACTACGGATGTTTTATTTGGACTGCTTTGCGTCTCAAATCATATCAGACTAGATCATATCAGACCACATCAGACTTAGATAATTATAAAATGCACAAATATCAAACATTCATCAGTTGAAACCAAAGTCCAAGAAATTCGGGTCTAAATAAAAATAAAAATATCCTAATAATAAAAAGGTAAAAAAATTACCATTACCAATACTCGCAAACAGGGAAGAGTGGTGAAATGGGACAACAATTCTTGCCCAATTCAAGGATTGGCAGTAGTAAAGTTTGAGATGGGTAATAGGAAAAACATAGGTCAATTGCCATTTTTGGTTACTATATATTCAGATGGTCTCTGTCGCAAAATCCAACTTTTAGTGATAGAGAGAGAGACAGAGAGCGATGGATGGTCGCCTTTTTGAAGTTTGAGGTGATTCCATTATCTCCTACTTCCTTATCCCCTTCCTTAATTGACCCCTCTCTGCAAACATAAAAAATTTCTTATCCGTACACAGCTGCTTCCGTCCGGTTGGTAAATTCACCGTACACCTCCTTCTTTCACTCCAAACCTTACTTCAATCTTCTTCTTCTTTCTTTATGAACTGAAATTTCACTTCCAATTCCATCGATTCAAGGGGAAATAGCAGCTAAGTGATATACATTCAGGGCAGCCAGGGTGCGTAAATTGATTCTAGATTTCTGGTGTGAGTAACTGCAAGCTGATTATTTTTTACTGTTGGGCTGAGTTTGTGAGGAAATCATGAAAAGGGGATGTGCTGATGATGATAATCAAGATCTCTACCGCCATGCAGGCGGCGGAGCCGCCCTGGGAGACATATCTCCGGTCGCCGGCGATGTCTTCGTTCACGGCGGGGAAGGTGACGACTTTGATCCGATGGAGATCTGGCTGGAATGTGTAGATCATCAAGATGCAGAAGATCTCCATCTCACTCCTTCGGTAGATCACCATGATTTCCCTCCCCTCCCTGTTGATTACTTCCCATGCATGTCATCTTCTTCCTCCACATCCTCTGCCCCCGCCGCCGCCGGCCACCCAAAACCGGCTTCTTCCTCCACCGCGTCCTCTTCCTCCTCCGCAGCTTCCTGGGCTATCTTGAAATCCGACCCCAACGAAGATGCCGCCAGAGAATTTCACCTGGCCATGGCGGCAGCGGCTCCAAGTTCGGTTTCTTTTGACGGCGGAGCGCCGCCGCTGCCGGAGGACAGCTTCACTGAAGATGACTGCATCAATGTAATTGATAGTTTGGACGATTTCATAAACGGAGACGACGGTCTTTGGGATATGAACTGCTCTATTTTTCAGACCTCCGATGGTTTTCAAGAAGTCCCGACCGAGTTTCCGGCGGCGGCGGAAGACCTGAAACCCGATGAGAGTCATGTGACGCAACAGGAGGAAGACAAAAAAGCGGCGGAAAACGCGGAGGAGCCGCCTTTTCTTCAGGGAAACGGCGAGCTGGCGGCGATATTCTTTGATTGGCTGAAGCAGAACAAAGAGTACATTTCGGCGGAGGAGGTTCGGAGTATCAAGCTGCGGCGGTCAACGATAGAGAGCGCTTTTAAGCGGCTTGGAAACACAAAGGAAGCCAAGAAGCAGCTCTTGAAGCTCATCCTCCTTTGGGTTCAGCAAAACCAGCTCCAGAAAAAGATGTCAAGCCGACAAGCCGCCGCCGCCGCCGCCGCCGGAGATGAAGCCGACCCTTTACTCTCAGCCGTCTGTAACTTTCCGCCACCAGACACCGCGCCGCCAGCTTTTTTCTATCACCAAAACGCTTACATCCCCGCCGCAGATCCGAACATGATGGTGGCGGGTCAGCCGCCGTATCCTGTTTTTCCGCCGCCACCGCCGGGTATGGGTTACGCCGGAAATAATGTCATTGGTGTGTCTGATCCGTACAATAACTACTGTGGAGCTCCGTACCCGCCAATGAACAGTTGCCATTTTCTGCAGCCAATGGACTCGAATCAATCTTGGCCGTCCTCCACTGAATTCCCGGCTGCATCACAGCCGTTCAATCCATTCCCTGATGGAAATAATAATAATAACAAGAATGGCATCAATGGAACAGTAGCAGCAGGATCAGATGAGTCCCCGGGGTTGTTCGGAAGCGAGTTTCCGTACCAGCTTTTCGATGGCAATGGGGAGAGGCTGGTGAGATTGGGTTCCTCGGCTACAAAAGAAGCTCGGAAGAAGAGAATGGCTCGGCAGAGAAAAATGTCCAGTCACCATTTCCGTCACCAGAACAATAGTAACACCATCAGATTGGGAGGCGGTGGCGGCGTTGAGAAGTGTTCGGTGGCGCACCACCACCACCACCGCCAAGTTGTTAATAATGGCAGTAAGAATAATTTTGGAAATTGGATGTACTGGTCTCCCACCGTTTCAAATGCTCGTCCGCCGCCACCTCAGGCTACGCCTCCTGTGGTTAAAGAAGCCCCGCGACAGCAGCCACAACAACCTCCTCCTGTGGACAGGCAGCCATTGGTGGAACCTCAGCAAAACCACCCAAAGCTGGGCTCATTGGACCGACGAGAGGTGATGTTCATCAAATTGGAGTAAATCATATTTGATCAAACTTTGTCCATGTTTTATTCCCATTTTGAACAATTTCATATACTCCGTATGTATATATACTACCTCCATGGTTTAATAGAATACTTGCTAACACTTTGACATTCCACTATTAAATCAAATGTTGTTGATTAATGCATTCAAAATATTATGAAAAATGTTACTCTGAATTAAATATTTATTGAACTATTATTAAATACAATAGGACTATTATATAATGTTTTGCATCATCTTTAGACGATTATATATACTTCGTATTACAATTATAATGTCAAACGATTGCAACTAAATAAAAAGGAGGAAGTATATATTATATGTGTGTCATTCTATACATTGCTCTTTTTCATCAACTGATCAATATGATTCATCATATATTATCAGATTGTTAAAACAGAAAAAAATCTGAAGTTTTTGCTTCAAAAGGTGTTGAAGCAGAGTGATGTTGGCGGTCTCGGACGGATTGTGCTACCAAAGGTAATGTTTATGCTTTGGCATAGTCAAATTATCTTCTTAAATTGTGTAATGTGCTTTTGAGGTACATTGCATCAAACTTCAAAAGTGATACTCCCTTGGGCTGTTCTTATTCTTTTCTTTTATGTTACATGACATTAATAAAAAGGTGGAAACTTTGTACTTGGAATTTGTTTAGAAAAAAATTGAATTTGTTTAGAAGAGACACAAAATGAAAATTGTATAGTCATTTCCATGAAAGGAAAGTCAAGCTAATTTTGGTCCATATTGGAAATGGGAAAGGAAACATACAAAGTTTTTGGTAATGTTAGGACTTAATGTTCCATAATAAAAGCATATAAGAGTTCAAATAATAAGCAAAATCATATACTTTCTTTGGTTCTTAATTAATTTCTCACTTTCCTTATTCGAAAGTTTCACATGAAAGTTTATATTTCCATTTTGGAAACATTTAAATATTTAATTATGAAATGACAACTCTATCTTCATTTCATTTGCCCTTACACCCCATTTTTACTACTAGTAAGGGGTGAATATCTTTTTGTAGGTATATAATAGGAAAGTAGAATTCTAAAAAGTTTCCTTTCTTAAAACTCAAATCAAATCAGAGTAATATGGCTTAGTACACTTAAAATTTGAATGTGGATTGGTTGTGCACTAAAATACTATAAAGATGTAAACAATAATTGAATTTTGACTATGTATGCAGAAAGAAGCAGAAACTCAACTTCCAGAACTTGAATCAAGAGATGGAATTTCTATTGCGATGGAGGACATTGGCACTTCTCGTGTGTGGAACATGAAGTATAGGTATAAGTTATAACAAGTTAATGAAATTTGTTTCTCCATATCATATTTAATGCCTCAAATGAACTTATTCCATGCTTTTACTACATGTCTTTAATCAGGTTCTGGCCAAATAATAAAAGCAGAATGTACCTTCTGGAAAATACAGGTCAATAGCCTTGTCACACAATCATTTCAATCATCTTATATATATAGTCAACTATCTATGGAGAGAGCAAATGATTGATCATGAATTCATGATCTCAAGTTTAATTTGGTTTTCATTTTTAGGTGATTTTGTCAGGGAAAATGGACTTCAAGAAGGAGATTTCATTGTGATATATGCTGACACCAAATCTGGAAAATTTGTAAGCATATTTTCCCCATTTCATTCCCTTCCACTTATAAATTTATAATATTAATGTGACATAAGTAATATTGTAGCCAGGGAGAGTGGGAGACCATGAGTTTTTCATCTATTATACTTCGTATGTTCTTATTCACTCTACAATGTTACTTTTTGAATTGTATATTCAACAAACAAATTTCTAAATCATTAATATAACGATAAGAAATTAACACTTTCACACGGTGTGTGCAATTCATGTAGTAACTCAGGGTGGCACATTACCATTTTTGACATACTGGACCGTGTTCCTTCAATATAATAAATCACAATGACTCGATGTATTGAAAATGCAGATGATTCGTGGAGTGAAAGTGAGACAGAATGCACCAAGATCGGAAGCCAAGAAACCAATGGCAAGGAAAAGCGTTCGCCCTTCACCCGCTACTTTTCCTGGGGTTAATTAAGCCATCCAACCATCTGTGATCGTATATGGAAATTAAGTGGTACAAATAATATTTGCAGCAACATATAAACAATGTCTGTATTATACATATATCATTTTGTAAACGGATCCGATCCCGTCCTGTTTCATATATATCTTGCAACTAGTCGAAGGCCTAGCTATTCTACTAGGTAGTAGTAAGTAGGCTGCTTTGATGATCAGATTTTGCCCAGTATATATCCCAAGCCATCAAAAAGGTAAATAAGTGTGTTGTAACGCTGCACACTTGTGTTGCTGCTGGTCATGGTGATGGTGGTTTTTTTTCTCGCGGCTTGATCATCAAGCGTTTGCAGCCATATTTTTATTGTGTATATCAAGTGTGCATGGCCTAGCCTGCCCTTCATATCAATCAGTTGGATATTATTATTGTTGTTGTTGTTTGTTGTTTGTATTGTTATCATTATCATTACTCTTTGTATTACTTACCTCCATCCCAAAAAAAGTTGTAAATTTGACTTTTCTTAGTCAAACAGTCTCGTTTTGTTCACTTAATTACAATGCCAATTTTTAATTATATTCTAATTTGGAGTTTACAACTTTAAAGAGATTTTAATGTAGTTTATGAATATGTAAATTTTAATTATTAAAAATTGAATTAATTATTCATACGGAGGGTTCACTTTTAATATTGGTTGACCAAAAATTGTTGACTTTGCAAAACAAATTGAGAGAGAGAAAATATATTATATTGTGTATAATTTTATTTAACAGCTGCTACTTGTGTTTGGTGCATGGTTTTTATTGAACAAATAATATACATAGAGAAAAGATAAATAAGTCATTGTTTACAAAAGAAATAATGTGTTTATTTTTAGGTGCAACTCTAGGTACTAGGATTAAAACATGCTGACAACTCCGGTACCTTTCTAAAATATGGGGTACCGTACCTCATTCATTTGATTGGATCACATCACTTTATCATTTTTTATTTAGATTTAAATAATTCAACTGATACATTCTCATTGGTCCATGTGGACAAATGTATGGTACCTTATGGGTACAATAGAATCTTCCTTAAACATAACATATGAACTATAAAACCGCCCAGAACTCTTTTTATGCTTAAGTAAAAGTATTTTATCTTGTTGATATCATTGTTCAAAGTCAAAACATTGGAAGCAGGGGCAGAGCAAAAGGGGTCAGTAATATCTACACTTAATTAAAATGAGTAAAGCTCGATGTGTAATATTGATTATATTCCCAAATTTTAAAACAAACGTATAAATAACTTATTACAACCTATCTTATGTACCTACTAAATAGTCGATTCTCTTCTGATAAGAAATCCTGATATTAAATTGGTGAGAGGAGAATTATAGAGTTCCAAGGGTAAAACAAAGATTCTAATCTGAGGCAGTCACTTGTGTGAAAACCCGTCGATTAAACTTGTTAAAACAATTTTATACTCTGTAATATATATGACATATGTGTCAAACCTATAGCAATATTAGTCTCATTTAATTATCATATATCTAAGATACATATGAAACATTAAATTCGATCATTGTCTAAAAATGATCCACTATTTCTATTTTCTATATATAGTTGAATTCGACCCCTGAGTCGTTTTTCCGGCACTTCCAATTTGGAAGTGTTTTACAATGTATGTCAGGGATGAGATTGTGACATTGTTAAATGGTAGTGTGATTAATCTAGTATGAAATGTATTTAATTGTCCTCTTGAGGCATAATTTGATAATGGAGAGTGATATCTAGTAGGGAAAAGTACAAAAAACGTACATGTGGTTTGGGTCATTTTCAGATAAGGGCATGTGTTTCATTTTCTAACAAAGTGGGGCATGTGTTTCAATTCCGTTATCATAACAGGGGCATGGCGTCTAACGCCGTTAGAAAAATTAACCCCGATTTTAAAAAGTCCTCGAAAAATTAAAAGAAAAATACTGGGAGGTGCCCTAGTCAAGGAGATCAACAAACTATCTTTATTTTTTTTGTTTCCAGACACCATATCTCTAGAAAGTCCATCAGAAAATTGATATTAGTGAATTTGTTTTAAAAAATAATCCCAATAGAGCCGAAAAATCCAAAGAGAAATATAGTTTGTTGATCTCCTGGACGAGGCGCACCTCCTAGTATTTTTCTTTTAATTTTTCAGAGACTTTTTAAAATCGGAGTTAATTTTTCTAACGGCGTTAGACGTCATGCCCCTGCTATGATAACAGAATCGAAACGCATGCCCCACTTTGTTAGAAAATGAAACTCATGCCCCTATCTGAAAATGACCCAAACCACATGTACGTTTTCTGTACGTTTCCTATCTAGTATGTTATCATGCTTGAACATATACATTTCTCTCATTTTTTGTTGTTGAAGAATTCATAATAGTTGTTCAAAATTAGCAGAGTAAATGTGTTCACACTTTCCCCCTTTTGTGCCGCGTTGAACGGGAAAAACATCCGATTTATTGTTAATAAAGATATTGACGCACCGATGCCAGCGCAGAGTGTGTTGTAGAAGATAAGGACGGTTGCTTACTGCGTGAATAACATGCATTGGTCTATTTTTGTAACTTCACATATCGATCAAATATTACTATTATTATTATTATTATTAAATTATAAAAAGGACAACGTTAATTAAGTAGTCATTATCATGTGAATCA